ATTTTAGGACTGTAATTGCAAAAGTAGCTACTGTAGTGCGCTTTAATTCCATAAAAACTTTGAAAACAGTTTTCTCAATCTTTTACTGACAAATATGGTGTTAAACTGTCATCTATATATAATCTTCCCACCAACAGTATCTTGTAGTATATCGTTATTTAAACTATAAAATAGTTTTAAATCTTCCGACAATTATGGTCTTACAGACCTAGATAGATTTATCAGAACACCATATGTATGCAAAATCTTCTTCTCTCTTATCATGCCCGCTCGAAGTGGTGCAATGTTGCTAAATCACTGTATTTTATAATTTTTTCTTCAATAGATGACATGCACTGCGACTTAAAAGATGTTTTGTTCAACCTAACTCCCAATTAATCCAATTCTAAACTTTTGAAGAATTTTATCACAATTGTAAGCCGCATTTTAGCTAAGTTTTCAGGGCTCAAAACTCCACTGCCTATATAGTTAAATCTGCGTTTTGCCACGGATGGGCAGACGTATAGAACATGTTCTGCTGCTTCTTGTTGCTCTTGACAGGAATCGTTTTCTTCCAATCCAATCTTTTTCAGATGATATCGCAGTCTACAGTGACCTGTTAGCAGTTCCATGTAGAGTTTGATATCTGTTCTGTTTAAATTCAGATCAACAACAGCCTTTATATGTTCAGGGACAATAAGCCGTTTTGACACATCCTTAGCTTTGTTGATATTAATTATGGTTGCTATAAACCATTGCTTAATTCAGATATAGATTTGATTGCTATATATACTAAAAGTTAAGTATTCATCATTATTAACATATTTTCAATAATTCTCTATTTACCGTATATTGAAAATGTACTCTAAAAATATATATGTTTTTATATTATCACGTAGTACAAAAAAATCATGTAGTTCTCTAGAAAAAAGTTTAGAAAAACTAGTGATTATTCTTAATAATCCAATTCCCATATGTATTTAAGGATACATATGTTGTAGGGATCTACTTAATATGTTATGTTTCATCATTATTATATGCTGAAGAATAATCAAGTCATATATGATTAATTATTATATTGCATATTTCTCAGTTTTGCTCAGACGTTTCCTATCTTCAATATATTAGTCATATGCATGTTTATGCATGTCATAAACCAAACTCTTTTACTTGCCCTTCATGTTTATTATTTTATTTTAAGTGACAATCTGCAATATTTTACGCTAATTACTTCCCTGCCTTCTATAATGTTATTAAAAATATTATTGAGATTAATTCTGTAAATGAAAGAAATTGAAAATTGGGTTCGGATGCTTTTCTATATCTCTTAAGTATCAACTCACACGCAACTAATGTACGGCGCATCTATGCCTGAGTTACTAGACCGAAAATAGTAATGAAATTAATTTTGTCTCAGGTATTTACCATATAAAAACAATTTAATTTAATTTAAATGAAAATAATTAAAAATGCTCAGTTGCTGGTAAACATTCATGTTTTACTGAGCTTTAATTACATTTATCTTTTGCTTTCTTTACAATAATAATTTTTTACTTAAGTAACAATTTTTGAATGGTGTGACTTTCGTTACGGAGACAGAAATATAAAATATAAAAAGTATTATAAACTAAAAGTGATGGATTTGAGTTAATTATTAAAGATATTTCAGCGTCAACATATTGCATGGCGGAATGAGAAAATAAGACAAATACATCACGCAAATAATTAATGAAAATATGAAATTTTTCTTTTTAAAGTTGATGTCTTTTATAAAATTAAAAAACAAAGTCTGGTAATATATATTAAATAAATATAAATATTAAATATATGGTTAAAAATTTCGTTTCTTACTAATATATGAGCTGTAATATATGATCTAAAAGTAACGTGCTTATCTAACTTACCTACTTTTAAAGATCATCTTTATAATAATCATCATCTGATTACGGGTATCGCTGGTTTTTCGAGAACGGTTCTGAATATAAGTAGAAGCAATAAAACTATAAAAAAAAATACTTAAGCTTTTTGTTAATCAACACAAATCATATTTTATTCACTTTCACCTATGAAGAAAGCTCTTTCTTTCGCACTTTCTTTATATAAAAATATAGCAAACTTTTAGGCTGTATACAATATCTGGTTTTATTGTGTGAGAAATATATATAACAGGAATATATAATGTACAGTACTTTATGTTAAGCAGTTTAAAAAAATTATAGTATAATTCTGTGGAAAGCAAAACTTCATTTTAAAAAATAAATTTAGTATTTTATTTAATGTATTTTATCTAGTTCTATAAATACTAGAATTAATCGTTAATTGAAATAATGTAGATACAAAATAATCGGTCATTGGACAGCTGAAAAAACTACTCATGTTGAGATCCCAGCAATAAATACTTGATAATTGATTGGGCTTAACATTAAGTCGATATGTTCCCTGTCCTTTCTTAAAATTTTTTACCAAGTTTGTTTAATATTGGGGAAATAAATATGTTGGTTTTAGCATCAAGCAGATTAATAGAGAATTAATGGTTGTGTATGACTCTTATATTTTTACAAATGCCATTTATTCAGTAATTTAGTTTTAACCACATATTCTCATATAACTTATCATACCAATTAAGACAGTAATTATAAAAATGTAGTAGAGTACCCCTTATATGGAGTTTTTATCACTGCTGTATCTTGAATTATATATTGGTATGTATAATAAATAGTAAATCAAAGTTCTATTCAATACTTATAAGCTCAATTAAGTTGTGGAGATGTTTTTATTCTTTGAATGACATTTTGGACTTAGTCTAAAAAGTAGGTCCAAAACAAAATCATGGTAAGTAATGACAAGCGTTGTCAGAGGATCAATAATTAGCTGCCGAACTCTCTTGGAATTAAAGAATAAGGACTTCAGTGCCGAGACTTCGGAGTCTTCATAGATTAAAACACAAGTGGATTCCACATGGTCGCAATGGATATAATCAGATATCCAACATAGCAATCACTTCTCGAGTTTATTAATAATACAGAGCATTTCATCTATTTATGTCCAATATCAGAAGATTAAACAATATTGAGAATGTTGAGTTATAATATTCTGAGCAAGAACAATATTCAAGCTCTCTTTTCACAGGATCTTCTAAGATTGAGGATAAAGAGAATAAGAATTTCTAGTTAGTATAGCTTATACAATCTTACAATTTATAAATATCAATGGCTACTTACAAATTCTTTTGCATTTAGAAACAACGATCGACTTATTAAGTGTCTTTGTTTTATACAACATTTGAGTATTTAAATTTATCACATTTCCGAATATAATATCAAGCTATTTAATCCGGATGTCATTGTAATCGGGCAACTATGTGTCTCAGCAAGCAGAAAGAAAC